GATTACAGATTAACAGAGTTGGAAGGGACCTTGTAGGTCATCTAGTCCAACCCCCCAAGCAGGAGACCCTACACCATTTCTGACAAATGGCAGTCCAGTCTCATCTTGAAACCTTCCAATGATGAAGCTCCCACAATGATCGAAGGCAACTTCTGTTCCATTGGTTGATTGTTCTCACTGTCAGAAAATTCCTCCGTATTTCCAGGTTGAATCTCTCCTTGATCAGTTTCCATCCATTATTCCTTGTCTGGCCTTTGGGTGCTTTGAAAAATAGCTTGATCCCCTCCTCTCTGTGGCAGCCCCTCAAATATTGGAACACACTGCTATCATGTCTCCCCTGGTCCTTCTCTTTACTAGACTAGCCATGCCCAGTTCCTGCAACCATTCACCATATGTTTTAACCTCCAGTCCCCTAATCATCTTGGTTGCTCTTTTCTGCACTCTTTCTAGAGTCTCCACATCTTTTTAAGGTGTGGAATATTATGCACTTGGAATACTGCATCCAATTCTGGTCAACACAATAAAAAAAAAGATTGTGAGATTCTGGAACGAGTGCAGAGAAGAGCAACAATAATTAGGGGGCTACAGGCTGAATCACATGATGAATGATTGAGGGAGCTATGTATGTCTGGTCTATCAAAGAGAAGGACTAGTGGTGATATGATAGCAGTCGTCCAGTATTTGAGAAGCTGTCATAAAAAAAGAATGGTCTGAGCAGTGGTGGAATTCAAATTTTTTTACTACTGTGGGCATGGCTTGGAGGGCGGGGTGTGGCTTTGTGGGCGTGGCTTTGTGGGTGTGGCAGGGGAAGGATACTGCAAAATCTCCATTCCCACCCCACTCCAGGGGAAGGATACTGCAGAATCTCCATTCCCATCCCACTCTGGGACCAGCCAGAGGTGGCATTTGCCCGTTCTCCGAATTACTCAAAATTTCCGCTACCGGTTCTGCAGAACCTGTCAGAACCTGCTGAATAGCACCCTGGGTCTGACCTATTCTCCAAAGCATCTGTGGGTAAGACAAGAAGTAATGGATGGAAAATAATTACAGATAGATTCAACCTAGAACTGAGAAATTTCCTGAAGTGAGAACAGTAAATTAGTGGAATGGTTTACCTCCGGAAGCTGAGGGTGCTCCTTCAATGGAGGTTTTCAAGAAGAGATTGGACAACCATTTGTCAAGCATGGCATGGGGTCTCCTGTTTGAGCTGATGGGGGTTTAGACTAGAAGACGTCCAAGGTCCTTTCCTTCCATATATTTCTATGTTCTCTCTTCATGACCTTCTACTTTTGGTCCTCTATGGTGATATAAAGAAGGAATTTGTGAATCTATTGCATCTAAAATTCCCAGGAAGAAATGATTTGTTTTGTTACCTATTGTCTTGCAGTTGTGTGAGCCTGACTATAACCAACATGATTGCAAAGGTTATTTTGTTTAAAAGAAAAATCTGCCCAGTTTCGGCTTTTGCAATTGTATTGATGGTGTCAAAATAATAATATTAAGCCAAAATCTGATGCTCCAGATATTTTCATATTAGCATTGGTTGATTGGCTAATGGCTAATTCAGCAATTGCACCATACACTGGCCAGTCGGGTGCATCTAAGAAGCTCACTATCGCAGTAGAATAACCTGTCAATTCACCTTGCGATTCATGATGAATGTATTATGATGACTATGATCATGATTTATCACTTATATCGTTTATGTACACTGAGAGCTTATGCACCAAAGACAAATTCCTTGTGTGTCCAATCATTCTGTTCTGTTCTATTCTATTCTCTATTTTTCTATTCTATTCTATTCTATTCTATTCTATTTTATTCTATTCTATTCTATTCTATTCTATTCTATTCTATTCTATTCTATTCTATTCTATTCTATTTCTATTCTATTCTATTCTATTCTATTCTATTCTATTCTATTCTATTTGGCTCGGCTCGGCTCGGCTCGGCTCGGCTCGGCTCAACTGTACTCTCCTCTCCTCTCCTCTCCTCTCCACTCTACTCTACTCTCCTCTACTCTACTCTACTCTACTTTTATTAGCTTGTTGGGCTTAGTGGTTAAGGCATCAGGTTAAAAGGGGGAGACTGTGAGTTTTAGTCCTGCCTTAGGCACAAAGCCTAAAGCCGATGACCTTGGGGCAGTTCCTGTCTTTCAACCCTAGGAAAGAGCCAATGGCAAGCCACTTGTGAAATCTTGCTAAGAAAACTGCAGGGACTAGTCCAGGCAATTGCAAAGAGTCAACAATGACTCAAAGTGATAAGACACAGGTACGCACTGAAGTACTCTACTTTTAAACCATAAGACTGTGCGTGTTCCTAGGGGTTGAAGTGATGTCGGTCCGCATTCTCATCCTTCTACACGTCTTTCTCTTTGACCCTAATATTCCTCAAATACCCATGGATCCAAGATCAGCCCATTGCATCTGTCCATTGCAAAGCCAAAGAATTGGCTTGCATTTCTTCCCCTCATTTCCTCTTTCAGTTTGTCTTCCTACATACCAGGCAGCTCAGCAACCATATTTGGAGTTAGTTTGCCTGTCTGCTGCTCTCACATCTGTTTGGTTGGAGGACTAGAGTGTATTTGCTTGCCCATATATGGAAAAGCTGCTGGAGAAAAGTCCTGCATCTGGCTTGAATTAGAAGTCATGTCACCTCTTCAATTCTGATTTTCTCATGAGCTTCTAGCCAGCCACTCTTTATTTTGGCTTCCAGGGCATAAGGCTGACCAGGAGGGATCAGGTGTGTGGCTCGAAGTCCACAGCTTCCTTGTTAACAACCAGATTCCTTATAATCATTCATGTCTCTGAAGCAATGGAAGGAAAGGTTGGAGACTATAATTGAACATTTTCACTCCAAGAAGAAAATTGTTCATGGAAAAAAAAATAATTAAGTCTTCCTGTCCAGAAATTTTATAATTACGCATTAAGGTAACTGTAATAAATAGTTCCATTCAGATGAACCAATGCATGCAGGCTTAGACATTGTATGGACAAGGTTGCATAAACTCTAAAAGTAATAGAAAACCCAAGCAAATATGTGTGTTTCCTTCATTATGAAATAAACCATGTGATAGAATGGGCAAGGTGTTGAACCAGGACTGGAGAATTTCACTTTCTGGTTCACTCTGAGATTAAAAGCTCACAACTTGTTGTTGTGGGAAAAATGGAAACACAATGGCTGTGTATACTGCCTTGTGATTGTGGAGGAAAGGTAGGACATACCGTGTTTCCCCGAAAATAAGATCCTATCTTATATTTTTTTGAACCCTGAAATAAGTGCTTGGCCTTATTTTCGGTGAGGTCTTATTATTTTGGGGGGGCTCATGGAGCAAAATGGGGCTCCTCTTGCAGTCTTACCTGATTTCCAGCTCTGCATTTAAATATTTTCAGGGAGGGCTTATTTTCGGGGGGGGGGCTTATTTTAGCGCATGCACTCTAAAGCCCGATTGGGGTTATTTTTATTTTTTTTTTAAATTTGATTTATATGCCGCCCTTCTCCGGAGACTCAGGGCGGCTTACAATGCGTTAAGCAATAGCCTCCATACTTTTGTATATTTATACGAAGTCAGCTTATTGCCCCCACAAACTGGGTCCTCATTTAACCTACCTTAGAAAGGATGGAAGGCTGAGTCAACCTTGAGCCTGGTTAGATTTGAACCTGCAGTAATTGCAGGCAGCTGTGTTAATAACAGGGTGCTTTAAACCACTGTACTACCAAGGCTCTTATTATCAGGGGATGTCTTATTTTCGGGGAAGCAGGGTAGGTATGTCCAGATTTCCTCTGTTGCTCTCTCTCTATAGGTTGAGTGCCTTTTAATTCTTAGCAAAATAAGTTTTAAATACAGGTTTAAGGAATTTAAGGATTTTTTGTCCTTTTGAAATAAACAGCAAAAGGGTTATTAGTTTGATCTTGGAAAGTTACAAACAGGTAAAGGATCCAGATGGATTTTAAATAAGATTTTGGAATTAATATAAGAATCCTTCCCATGGGACAATGTTTTTGTTCTGAATTCTCTTTAAAAAAAAAAAAAGGATGAGATTTTGAAGGTTGGACATTAGAGGGAGCCAGAAGGAACTTCTTTTTTTATTCCTGTCAGAAGCACCTTCAATTTATAGACATACAACATTCAACACTGAGCAAGTAAAATAGGTATAGAATAGGTCATAGAAATATAACATGTGTTAAAAGTATATAGGATAAATAGGATTAAAACTAAATGACATGCGCCCAGTATTGGGCCACATTGACAGCATGTCGACAAGCTGTGGTGGCACAGTGGTTAGAGTGCAGCACTGCAGTTTACTTTTGCTGACTGCCGGCTGCCTGCAATTTGGCAGTTCGAATCTCACCAGGATCAAGGTTGACTCAGCCTTCCAACCTTCCGAGGTGGGTAAAATGAGGACCCAGATTGTTTGGGGGCAAGAGGCTGACTCTTAGAGAGGGCTATAAAGTGCTTAGAGAGGGCTATAAAGCACTGTGAAGCAGTATATAAGTCTAAATGCTATGGCTATTGCCCTTCCTTCCTTCCTTCCTTCCTTCCTTCCTTCCTTCCTTCCTTCTTTCCTTCCTTCCTTCCTGCCTGCCTGCCTGCCTGCCTGCCTGCCTGCCTGCCTGCCTGCCTTTCTTCCCTCCCAGTGGTTAGAATGCAGTATTGCAGGCTAACTCTGCCCACTGCCAGCAGTTCAATCACCGGCTCAAGGTTGATTCAACCTTCCCACCTTCTGAAGTCAGTAAAATGAGGACCCAGATTGTTTGGGGGCAATATACTGACTCTGTAAACCGCTATAAAGAGGTTTATAAAGAGGGCTATAAAGCACTGTGAAGCGGTATGTAAGTCTAAATGCTAATGCTAATTTCCTCTCACCAGCATGAGGTCCGCCTCCATACATGTTGAAGGACATTGTGTGCACCGTAGCATCTGCGAGATGGATTGTCCTTCTCCACTTTCACACAGAGAAGGAACTAAAAAGGCATTAATTCATGTATCTTTGTCCTAGATTAAAAAGCAGCAGCAAGATGTGGTTGGCTTCTTGGAAGTCAATAAGATTGAGTTTGAAGAGAAAGACATTGCGGCCAATGAAGAGAATCGCAAATGGATGAGGGAGAACGTCCCAGAAGAGTGTCGGCCAGCCGCCGGGAATCCATTGCCTCCGCGAATCTTTAATGGCAGCCGGTACCTTGGGGTGAGCAACGGCCTCCATTTTCTTCATTTGTGTTGAAAATCTTCCAGGAAGCGTTATTCTATAAGCCACAAGTCTAGACTCCTGTTCTGACCTAGGCTCCCTTAAAAAGCACGAAGCAGAGTCTTGGTCCTGGCAAAAACCTCTTTTATTTACACGACTGTGAATTCCTTTCATTCACAGTCAGCAAGGTCTGTCCAAACAGTTTTTCAAAGGAATATTTATCAACATAGACCTTATCTCGCTTGGCAAGCTGCCACGTAACTAGTTCCCAAATGCAGTACAAGGCTAAACTTAGCACAGAGTCTCTGAGAGTCACGGAACGAACGAATTGTTTCCTGCAAAAGTCCATTCTCCGTTCGCTCCTCTTTTGTTTCCTATGGGAAGGGCCAATCACCTCCAAGGTGTGGCTTTACTCTTGAGTCGATCCTGCTTTCTGCGTTGTTCTTGACTTCTGGCACCTCTGCGCAGGAGCACACTGGGAACAGGCTCCAGCTGTTCCTCTTCCTCACTGCTGTCTAGCTTCCTTTCTGCCTCCGATGCAGAGCCCTCGTCCAAGCTTTCCCCAGCCCCCAGGACTGGCCCAGGTTCCTCCCCAACCTCCTTACTATCCGACTCTGCTGCCAGCTCTGCTGGCCGCCGGCGGGCCACAACAACTCCCTGCCTCGTGGGAGGGCACATCGTTTGCAAGTAACTTTTGGGATGGAGTGAGGAGGAAGGCCACAACAGAGGAGAAATGCCAGGTCTACTTCATTTGAACTGAAAAAGATTAAACAGACTTTTTCTTCCAGGCTACCCTTACAAATCCCTGGGCTATAAGCTAAGCCAGGATTTCTCAACTTTGGCAATTTGAAGATGTGCAGACCTCAATTCTAGAATTTTCAGAATATTTTTAATAGTAGAAATAGAGTCACAAATGCTTTGTTCGGAACCAAAGTCATTTCTAGATGTTGGTTATTTCTGGATTAATGGGGCCTACAGACATTCTCAAAAGGGATGCGGTGGCCCAGTGGCTAAGATGCTGAGCTTGTCAATCGAAAGGTCGGCAGTTCAGCGGTTCGAATCCCTAGTGCTGTGTAACGGGGTGAGCTCCCGTTACTTGTCCTAGCTTCTGCCAACCTAGCAGTTCGAAAGCACATAAAAAATGCAAGTATAAAAATAGGGACCACCTTTGGTGGGAAGGGAACAGTGTTCCCTAAATGCCTTTGGCGTTTAGTCATGCCGGCCACATGACCACGGAGACATCTTCGGACAGCGCTGGCTCTTCGGCTTTGAAACGGAGATGAGCACCGCCTCCTAGAGTCGGGAACGACTAGCACATAAGTGCGAGGGGAACCTTTACCTTTACAGACATTCTCATTTTCACCTCTGCAAAAAGGTGTCCCAAAGGTGCTTTTTCAAGAGAGAACTGGACTTCAGCTTCTGAAGAGTTGAAGAAGCTTCTTGGATGAGAAGTGAAACGTCTTCAAAGAAAAAAACCCAGAAAGTTGCCTGTTGAAAAAACACCTTTGGGACAACCATGACCTGAATGACTGAGAATCTCCATAGACATTCCTCAAAAAGGTGCTGCTTTCTTTTTTAAAGATTTCTATCCTATTCATAGCCCTCTTTTATGATACAAGAATTAAAACTAGTTTAAAAGATGAATATTTGGTAATATAAAGATTCTGCCCTCTAGGGAATATTTGAATTTGGCTGTATTTCCCAACTCAGAAATATTTCTCAGAGACTAAGTTATTCAGCCTATTTATTGTTCCAGGTATAATACAAAAATCAGATTCCTTGCCAAACCAGCTGGAGTAGATGTTGATTTTTAAAGCCAGCAATACGTAACTGAGCCAGCCAAGTTCAATTCTCCAGGGATGAATTCCCTATCACAACTACCTTGTTTCTTACCAAGGGACTATCCTAAGAATAAAGGATGGGCTTGTGAAGTCAACTGTAATGAACGGAATAGATTACATTTAAAGAAAAGATGAAATTCTAGGATGTCTTTTGAAAATAATCATCTATCCAGCTTCTGCTCAGAGCTTAATAGGTGTTGGATCGGTTCCTCTGCTTCCTTGAGTACCATGAAAAAAATGGGAAATATATTAATATTTATAAATAGGAATGATGGGTCTTCATGAATTCCTTTTCCCCAAAGATCAAATACTACAAACTGGTTCCTAAAGGCTATATATTGATTTTTCTTTTCTTCCCTCTCCCATCCCAAAGGATTATGACGCTTTCTTTGAAGCTAGAGAGAATAATGCCGTCTATGCTTTTTTAGGCTTGACTGCCCCACCTGGTTCAAAGGTAGGTATTGCCACCGTTGCTTGAACACTGTTTCCTGTGCTTTGAAAGTCTAAAATGCAAGTGTGGCATTTTAAATTTATTTCCTCTCACCATGAGGAAGAAATCCATTTTTTTTCCTGGATTTTCTCTTCTCTAATAAGGAACTATTTATTACATGAAACAGTGCTAGATTTTCCTCTGGCAGCAGTTAAAGTTTGCAAAAAGATACTTGGGTATGCTAAGCATGGGTAATCGTACCTGAGAATTCACCTTTTATATTTTAAGGCTGATAAGCTTCTTTGTTTATTTTATCTTCATCTGTTTTTTACTTCCTTGTTCGGAGACTGTCCCTTTAGTCTGGTCTTAGGATGAGTACTAAGAATTTTCAATAGAAATAGTTCAGTGTTCCAATATATAATATTATGTTAACCATCTTAGCTTTTGATTATCTTTTTTCCCCTCTTAAAAGCGTCAGTGGTATTACTGAGACAGATGTCATTTTTCTTCCTTATCTATGACCAAAATAAGAATGTGGATTGCATTGAGAACAGGAAGAATTTATTTGAGATGTTTGGTTTATCAAAGGTCACACCATTTATTTGGTCTTGTCCTCTTCCAACAGCTACTGAAACTAATGCAGGTAGTTCAGTTCATTTAGTGACCGTTCAAAGTTACAACGGCACTGGAAAAAGTGACTTATGACCGTTGTTCACAGTTACAACCTTTGCAGCATCCCCATGGTCACGTGATCAAAATTCAGAGGCTTGGCAACTGGTTCATATTGATGACGGTTGCTATGTCTCAAGCTCATGTCCCAAGCTACCGTGTTTCCCCGAAAATAAGACCCTGTCTTATATTTTTTTGAACCCCGAAGTAAGCGCTTGGCCTTATTTTTGAGGAGGTCTTATTATTTTGGGGGGCTCCTCTTGCCGTCTTACCTGATTTCCAGCTCTGTGTTTAAATATGTTTGGGAAGGGCTTATTTTTTGGGGGGAGGCTTATTTTAGCGCATGCACTCAAAAGCCCAATTGGGCTTATTATTAGGGGATGTCTTATTTTCGGGAAAACAAGGTATGTCCCAAGCTCATGTCCTTTTGTGACCTTCCGACAAGCAAAGTCAATGGGGAAGCCAGATTCACTTAACCAGGTTATTAAGTGTTGTACCTTATGATTCTTGACAAATGTATCTTTTCTTTTATGTACACCGAGAGCTTATGCACCATAGACAAATTCCTTGTGTGTCCAATCACACTTGGCCAATAAAGAATTCTATTCTATTCTATTCTATTCTATTCTATTCTATTCTATTCTATTCTATTCTATTCTATTCTATTCTATTCTTTTTTTCTTGAATTTTTTTTTATTTTTAAACAAACAAAACATAAAACATCCATCATCCATTACAATTGCAAACAGTCTGTCGATCGGTGACAAATCCCTTGTGCTTCATTCTGTTCTGTTCTGTTCTGTTCTGTTCTGTTCTGTTCTATTCTATTCTATTCTATTCTATTCTATTCTATTCTATTCTAATTCATCAAAGACACGTCTGCAATGATTCACTTAAAAACTGTGGCAAGAAAGGTGGTGAAATGAGTCAAAATTCACTTAGCAAACATCTCACTTAACAACCCGAAATTTTGGGTTCAATTACGGCCGTAAGTCAAGGACTACCTGTACAGGTGACCAAATTGTTTTATTTTATTCATTAAAAATAAACCTGGCTAAAATTTCTCTCATTGTCTTTCCACAGGAGGCAGAAGCACTAGCAAAACAAGGGATGTGAATCCTTCCTCCCTCCCTTCCTCCCAGCCTCAAGCCTTAAAAATTCTGCAAAGAGAAAAATCCTACAGCTTTTCTCCCTTACAATAGCAAAAACCAATGCGCTTGGAGGAAAAAGAAACAAAGGTTTTGTTTTTCCCCCCCAAAATTACTGGCTGCTCTCCACAATATTCTGCCGTATAGGATTAACAGGAAGCCACACCAAATAGTATTATCATTATGAATGATGATGATGATAATAATAATAAATATAAATGTGCCACAACGAGAGAGAGAGAAATTAAATGAAGCTTCTATAAACCCTTGATTGAATTTTGACTCTTGCAGTGGATATGATTTATTCCCTGGCAATTACATAAAAGTCCTCACCCCCCCCTTTTTTTGTAAAATTAACAAAAGCATTGTATTTTTGCTCTCCGTGACACAGATCTGTAATTATACTTGCAGATGCAGAGAAAATCTAGCTGCAAAAATGTTTATTAATAAACCCCAGTGCCTCTCCTGCTTCAAAACCCGAAATGACAAATAGGATGTCCTAAAGTTGATTTTTTTTTTAATGGCTATTTCTAAAAAGTTGCAATGTCACATAGTTGAAGTTGCAATAACTTGATGTGGTTAGGATGTTTATAGAGTTGTTCTTTTGTTCTTTTGTAACATAGATTGATACCATTGGAGTCTCATTGATGGAATCAGGGCAGGATTTGCCAGGGTTGATGAGAACACAATAACTGTCTTAGGGAAAGGCAAGATTTTTGTGCAGTCTCAGTAAAACGTGCATTTCTAACCCTCTGGATTTACGAAAACAACAAAATAGTTCTTATTTCTCTAGAATGTGAAGCAAATGTAATACGGGGCCAAAATACTTTTGTTATTTTCTTTTTTATTATTATTAAGAAACAAGGTCAAGTAATTATGAATTAGAATAAAACTTAGTTTGATACATTGAGCTTGTAAAACGTTTTCTGTGCAAGATGAGATATGTTAAAATCAAGGGTCCAATATGAAATAAATCTGAATAAAAATCATTTGCAGGAATGAAGCTTGTAGGTCTCTATGATACCGGAAGCTCCATTGATTTTTCAGTCTGGTTTTGCAATGCTGTGAAGTTTACCTTTAGCAGTTTGTCAAACTCCTAGTATTTTCACAAAGTGCAACAACGATCACTTGCCAATAGATATGGGCAAGAACCCCCACCCCAATAAACATATTAGTTACAAGTAATACTGCAAAATGTGTGTCTCCCTCCTGTGGATTTGGAAAGTTGAAGAAATGCAACTGAATCTCAAAGCCTTAATCAAATTATATCAAGATAGATACATCCAATAGAAGGGAATATACTGGTATATATATGTATATAGCTCAGGGTAGAACTGTGGAGACCTTAGAGCACACTGAACTTGGTTGTTTGCTTGCAGATGTTTCCTTACCCAACTAGATAACATCATCAGTGAGATTGAGTCTGGGGTTTGCTTTCTGTTTTGGTACATCAGCTTGCCCTGCCACAGCGTTGGTGAGCAGTGGTTTTCTCCTTGGCAGTTCTTTGATTAACCCATCCCCTTCAACAGCCAAGAACTAGATAAGCAGGGATTAACACCAGAAAAACAATCAAGCAGAAAATGTTACCCTAATCAAGGAAGTACCAAGGAGAAAACCACACACCCAACCACATTGGCAAGGCAAGCTACGTAAAAAAGGAGCATTGATGAGGTTATTTAGTCAAATAGGAGCCTGAGTGGCGTAGGAGGCTAATGCCTCCTACTAAGGCAACATTTAACATCCAGCTGCCTGCAATTACTGCGAGCTCAATTCTCACCAGGCTCAAGGTTGACTCAGCCTTCCATCCTTTCTAAGGTAGGTGAAATGAGGACCCAGATTGTGGGGGCAATAAGCTGACTTTGTATAAAATATACAAAAGTATGAAGGCTATTGCTTAACGCATTGTAAGCCGCCCTGAGTCTACGGAGAAGGGCAGCATATAAAAAAAAAATCGTAACAAATCATGCAGATATAATCAAGCTCGGGGAATATCAGGAACTAGATAGATGTATGTTGCCTTTTTATCTCACGGACGTTGTATTCTTAGCCCGTGCGGAGGACCAAAGTTAATGTAGACGACTCCATCCAAATATTCCCTTCCCCACTTAATAATACATGCAAATAAATACACAAATCAACATGAGGTTTTTTTTTTAAATCTAGGATTCCTACCAGTTGACATGGTTCCCTCCAGAATCTAGGTTCTGCAGGAGTTGGCTAACTTTATAACGTCTGCATTCTTTTATCTGTCTTAGCTTTCATGAGGCCTTTGAGAGTCAAGATACAGTAATTGCTTCTCTTTTGTGTGAAAGTTTGACCTGTGCTGTTTTCGGAAAGATGTTTAGTATGGTGTTTTTCTTTGGAAATCTGCAGTATGTAGAGTAATATTTCGCAACCTTGGCAACTTTAAGACGGGCAGATTTCAACTCCCAGAATTCCACATCATGGCTGACTGGGGAATTCTGGGAGTTGAAGTCCACCCATCTTAAAAGTTGCCAAGATTGAGAAATGCTAATGTAGAATGTCTGGTTTTACCAGTTCTGGATTTCAAAACAAAAGAGGACCATCTCTACATAGTTTATACTATCCGTATTTTTCAAAGTATAATATGCACTCCCCCCCCAAAAGAGTGTGAAAGTTTGGGTGTGTCTTATACACTGAATGTAGCCCCATCCATCCGCCCCCATCCTTTGGCCTCTGCCTCCCAGCAATTTGCCTCCTTGCAGCAAACAGCCAACAGCCTGTTTCAGCTTCAGCACAACCTGATTAGCACAAGCAGCTGATTATCGTTTGGATCGGCCTCCCAACCTTCAGCTGTTTCAGGCTGCAAGGATTGCCATAGCCTATTGCGGCCTCCACGCGCCCCGTTTTTGGCCTCTGCATCCCGTTTTCAGGCCCTGCACGCCCCGTTTTCGGTCTCTATGCGTCCCATTTTCCGCCCATTCTGATCCCGGCTGCCCGGAACAGGCAGAAAATGGGTTGCACAGAGGCGACAATAGGCTATGGCAATCCCTGCAGCCTGAAACAGCTAATGGTTCGGAAACCAATCCAACCGACAATCAGTTGGTTGCTAATCAAGCTGTGCTGAAGCTGAAACAGGCTGTTTGCTGCAAGGAGGCAAATTGTTGGGAAGCAGAGGCAGATTTTTTTTTCTTGTTTTCCTCCCCAAAAAAGGTAGGTGCATCTTATACGGTATATGCTTTTGCACAAATGATCATTCCTAGTTGTCCTGGCTCTGGGCTCAGATTGGACAGAGAATACCCTGCAGGTTTGAGATGGGTTTTGATGTTAAGAAACTCAAGACGGGACAAATCCTGTATCCAGTGGCTGAAAACGGTTCCCCAAAGTTTTTCACTCCAATATATTGATCTAAATATATCTTGGGTTCCTAATTCATTGCTATTGGAAAACCTATGTTAGACAACCATCTTATCTCTTATAGTCTATTGTTTAATTTCCTATACCTGTTGGAGTAATCCTGTGCTCAAATCTCATTAATTTTGCATTAAATGAGTATATTTTAACTCAAATTTGTTATACTCTTAATTTCTTATAAGCAGTCTCTTGTTATTATACTAACCCTGTAAATCCATCTTTGTATGATGTCCTCTACGCTATATCTTTTATATTCCACAACAGAGATGGGCAACTCTGGCAACTTTACGACCTGTGGACTCACAACTCCTAGGAATTTTGCCATTCCCATGAGCCGTATTATCATTAGCAGTTGTCCTTTTGTTTTGTCTGCTGTTATCCTGAACTAGTGCCATTGCTTGGTCTGCTACGTGGAGCTGTGGTCATTAACAATAGCGTTAGGGTTATATACTGCCCCATAGCACTTCACAGCAGGGCAAGGGTCTTCAAACTTGGCAAGTTTAAGACTTGCGGACTTCAACTCCCAGAATACCTGAGCTAACATGACTGGAGGAGGAATTCTGGGAGTTGAAGTCCACAAGTCTTAAAGCTGTCAAGTTTGAAGACCCCTGCTCTAGGCAGTTTACAATCTAGCAGCATGATTTGCATTTTGCCCCCAACAATGTGGGCCATCCTCATTTTACCTACCTCGGAAAGATGGAAGGCTGAGTCAACCTTGAGCTCCGCCAGGATCGAATCCCAGGCTTTGGGCAGGGTTAGCCTGCAATTCTGCATTCTAACCATTGTTCTACCAGAGCTCCTTGCCCCTTTCGGCATCTTGCAACTCTGCGAATGGCACTAGTGGTCTGTTGTTGCTGGGGTTCTGCTAGTTTCCGCTTCAGGCCTTTGATCACCCATCTTCTGGTCTATCAGACCTTGCCATCCATTCATGACTTCCGTTTTTCTCTCGTAATCCCACTGCGCTTGAGTCTCTTTGGCTGGCTGTCCTGTTCCTTTTCCTAACTGATAGCTGTTCACAACTCCTTGAAACCTTTCTTTCCCCTATTTCATGATGGCCGTGGGCTCTGAATTAGGAAAGTTCAATCAGAATTTTTTTTTTTAAAAAAAAGTATATCATAGGAATCACACATTTTTAGATGGATTTTCATCTGATCTGTTACGTTGGGCTTAATTGTGGCAATGAGGACGTTGTACCAGCTTCCGATTCCAGAAATCTGTTAATAAAAGCTGCACGTCTTCTGCTGTTTTCTGTTATAATAATATGCGATTTCGTAATAAAGTTTTCCTCCTTTTACACACAAAACAATCATTGTTATTTTTAACTGCTGCTTTCGCTTCAGGTATGGCGATCACCAGCTTTTTAGTGCCTAGGAATCCTCTTTATACTTTTAACATTTTCTCGTTCTTCAATAACTTCTCATAGGTAATGGGGTTATGAAAGCCAACAGAAATGGGACCACTGAAAACTAAAGGTGATTTAATCAGTATTTTTGGATGTTACAGTACGGAAATATCTTTAAAAAAAACTTGGAGGAAAAAAAAATCTGTTTCTAAATCAATTCAAGGACTGATTCAACCTAAAGACAATGCATGTGTTTGCAGGATATTTGAATCATGTTCTCAAAGGAGACCCAAGAGCTCTGAGTAACTTTACTTTATTATTTTATTCATCCAGATAATATCGGTATCCGAACTCACAACTTCAAAAGATAGATTCCATTTGGTCTTTCACTCTGGTGTTCGAAATTAGTCAAAATCCTTCTATCTGGTAGGAGAGATTTCAAGTAGGCGTGTTTTAATGTGTGCTCACTTGTTGTGTTCTCCTACTATTAGAGAAAGGTATTACTGCCTTGTTCTCATAGTAAACCTTACACAAAAAGCTGATACAGTGGATATTAATTTTTGCAATTCCCATGTCTTTCACAGGGAGCTAAATTTCTTTGACATACAAAATTCCCTTTATTTAAACTTTAAAAAAAAACATGGTTTAAGCACTGAACACTTATATAAAGGAACATCTTCAAATTGTTGCCACATTTTTTCCCACTCTGTCTGCAGCTGCTACCTTAAGGAATTTCTTAACTTCTTCATTTTCAGTTGCTTCATACAGCATCTCAAAGTCCTGAAACAAATACAAAAGATAGAAGTTAACTGAGTTAAGAAGCCAGAAGAGCCCGGGGATGAAAGTCACATTCAGCTGGACGTCACTTTTCTTCAAAATGCTGTTATTGTTGAGCTTGAATCTGATGATCCTGGATTCAAATAGCCATTCCATTCCTAAAATTACTGGATTGTGCCAATCGCTCACTGACTACAGACATCACATTAAACCATGATTTATTAACAAGGAGATTCACAGAACATGCTAACCTGAACGAAACCATACTACAGGTTATCATGGTCTGAGAACTCTTTATCAACCTTTATTTGCCAATTTGGATTGTTGGAAGGAGAAAGCAGAAAAGAAAGCTCTATGGTGGGATAAGATGGTAAAAATATGTGATTCCCACTACATACAAGCAAGAATATTTTCCAATCAAAGCCAAACCAACTGACCTTCTCTAGGGACAACTTACCTTTCTGCAAATCTGATTTGCAGGTCAGCCCTAAAAATGGGAATATTGTTTGGTTTTTTTGTGCACTTTGGATGACTAAATAACAGCTCATTGATGTAATGTAATTCACACACACTTTTTAAAAATTTTTTTGATTTATATGCCGCCCTTCTCCGGAGACTCAGGGTGGCTTACAATGCGTTAAGCAATAGCCTTCATACTTTTGTATATTTTATACAAAGTCAGCTTATTGCCCCCACAATCCGGGTCCTCAATTTACCTACCTTAGAAAGGATGGAAGGCTGAGTCAACCTTGAGCCTGGGGAGATTCGAACCTGCAGTAATTGCAGGCAGCTGGTGTTAATAACAGTGCTTTAGTCTGCTGCGCCACCAGGGCTCCTTTCCCTATCCTTCCTCCCCTCCACCCTTTTCCATTTGGAAATAATAGCATAGTCGACATGTAACTTGCGCTGGGGATGATTGCGATGTTCGAAGAAGAAACAAGCTGGAGGTGGTACCAATGAGGGAAGAAGAAAAGCAAGAATGGGAGGAAGTGAATAAATTCCAGAATTTTTTCCCCCTTTTTTTGGGAGAGAAGGTTAACGAGACATATTCACATACAAAATACATTTTGAATAAGTGTGCTTTTATTCACCTGCTCTTCAACTTGTTTTCCAGCCATTATAACCGAATCCATAATTTGGTTGCCTCCCCCAGTCTGATTTTTCTTACCCCGCAATATTCGTCTCCGTTAAAGATCTGGGGTGGGACTGCATCAGCCTTGCCAACTTTGTCCCTCATCTCTTGCAGCAAAGTTTCACTGAGCGAGACATCCACCAACTGGTACTTCATGCGGTTTCCATCCAGAATACGAAGAACCTCAGACTGCCTCTGCTTCACCTAGATATACCGACAGTTTTGGTGAAGAGGGAGGGTAGAGATTTTGGGGTGTCACAGATCTGACAGCATTTCTTCAAATCCAAGTGTTACCATGGGGCTGCCCTAATCTTCTGCTTAGGACGATTCCGGGTTTTAGTTAGATGTGCTGGAAACTAACTTTATATCAAAAAGAGTTAGTTCAAAAGTGGATGACTTTAGCTGGGACTAAAGATGCAGCTTCCTCAGAGTTCGTGCCCACTTTTGAGCATAACCCTTCAATACAGCTTCCCCCCCTCCACCCACCCAATTTTAGTAATTTTGCATTTCCGTCCTTCCTGCCCTCTGCCAAGGTAAAGTCACTGGATTCTTTTTATATCACAATGGATTCTTTTTTAAATTAAAAGTTTGGTAATAGGGTAGAGAACAAAGGTGCATCCATTAACAAAGCCACATATAGGGTACAATCCCCTGCATATTCCCTTAAAGTAAACTCGTAAATTTCTTAGATCATTATGCTACAAGAAAAAGAAAGAATCCAGACAACTAATTAGTATTTTTTAAACTTGTGCAGAAATGTTTTTTTTTAAAGTCTGCCCATGACTGTATACTACTTCTGACAACTGCAGATTTTTAAGACATCAAAACTTTGGCACAGCTTTCTTGTAGTACTATTTCTACTGATTTTTTCTGAAACTAATTTATTTTGAGCCATAGTTTGTGTGTTTCTATTTTTAAAATTACTATTTTTAAGAGTGGTAGCTTTTGAATGTTTAAAAAAAATGTGCCTTGAATGGAATGCCTGTATTAGGAATTATTTTTGCTTCTAGCAGATGGAAGATGCTGGTGTAAAATTATAGAATAATATATATATTTATATTAAAAACATGATAGTACAACTTGCACTTCTTTAAATCTGTAAACTGCCTCAGATGAAATGCATCAGATATATAGATGCCCAGGCACTCTTGAATTGTCAATCCAGGTACCAATAGAAGATAGTATTTGTAGCTAAGGCTTGAACACTGTGGAGTTCTTGGTGATCTCAGAGTTTGTTTCCTTGCAGACATTTCAATACCCAACTAGCTAACAGCATCAGTGATAGAAGGGAGTGGGATTTGCTGTCTTATATACAGTCTCTTATAGCACTGGTGTTGGCTGCCCCATTTCAGTGGGTTTGCACAGAAGGTTCCAATGAGTATTATCATATTACTTCATTGGAAGAGTATATTTGTAGCTCTGAGTTGAACTGTGGGGACCTTAGTGCTTTCTGAGCTTCGTTGCTTTCTTGGAGACATCTCCCTACCCAACTAGGTAATATGATGAGTGCTAAGAAGGAGTGGGGTTTGCTTTCTGTCAATCAAGGCTCGAGAATGAGGCATGGCAAGCCATCATGGGTGAAGTGGAGCTGCCTCGTCCCCAATCTCAGGAGCTCCAAAGCAGCCCAGAGGGAAGGACCTGAAGCCCCTCTTCTCCAGGCTCCCCTGTAGACCCAAGTTTGTGCATTTCACAGCCCTTACTCAACCTTGATCTCATTGCAAGCCTTTTATTGATCTTTTGAATACAAAATAGCCTGTCTGGGGGATCCGCTTCCCTGACCCCCATCCCCTACTCAGGATGTCCCCATCCCACCAGAGGATGCCCTGGATCAGCTTTTCCCAGCCTGGTGGCTAGAGGTGATGGGAATTGGGGTCTCTGGAAGAGGTCCAAGGGTTGTACTTCAACACTCAACTGAAAGTCCTGGGTTGGCTGGGAGAGATGGGAATTGGGATCCTAGTCTTTGGAAGGGTATTTTGGCCTTGTATTTCCAAGTTATGGGAGCTGTGATCCAAGAGCCTCTGGAATGCTACTGGGGCTTGTATTCCAGAGACACACAAAAGAAGTTAAGGTGGCTGGGAGTTATAGGAGTTGTGATCCACGCCTCTGGAAAGGTACTTGGGCTTGTATTTCCAGGGCACACATTGGATGCTAGGGTGGCTGGGAGTGATGGGAGCTGTGATCCAAGAGCCTCTGGAATCCTACTGGGGCTTAAGTGGCTGGGAATGTTGGGAGCTGTGATCCAAGCCTTTGGAAAGGTTCTTGGGCTTATCTTTCCAAGGCACACAACGGATGCTAGGGTGGCTGGGAGTGATGGGAGCTGTGATCCAAGAGTCTCTGGAATGCTGCTGAGGCTTGTATTCCAGAGAGACACAAAAGATGCTAAGGTGGCTGGGTATTATGGGAGCTGTGATCCAAGCCTTTGGAAGGATACTGGAGTTTGTAGTTCCAAGGCACACAACGGATGCTCTAGGGTGGCTGGGAGTGATGGGAGCTGTGATCCAAGAGCCTCTGGAGGACAGATGGCGGTTATAGCACACAGAGAGCGATGGGAGCTGGGATCCCAGAGTCTCGGGAGAGGCATGGGGTTTGTAGTTCTGAGACACCCACCCACCCCAAGACAGTGCTGGGTGGGCTGGGAACAATGGGAGCTGTGATCTCAGAAGCACCAGGCGGGGCTTGCAGTTCCAAGACAGGCGAAGGGCGCTGAGGATGACTGGAATTGTGGTTCCCACGTCTCTGGAGGGGGAGGGGACCTGCAACCCCAACCACAAGGAAGGCGCTGTGGATGATGAGTCCTGTAGTCTCCGCACTCCCGCGGAGGGCGACCTGTCGCAGAAGGGCTGGGAGAGGCTCGCCCTCCCAAGCAACTCGGCTTGTAAGGGGCTCTCGGGCGCGGCCGCCCCACTCAGGCTGCCTCTCACCTCCCTGGAGCCCGTCACGCTGGTGTAATACACCCGAAGGGCGGCCATGCTCGGCCCGGAGCCGCCGTTGCTATGGGAACAAAACCGCCAGCGAGACTCCTGCGTTCAGAATGGCCGCTCGCGCTGCCACTCAAAGAACAGCCCTCCCCCCCCATCCCCGGTCTCTCCTTTCCCTGGTTATTGCTCTTCTCCGCCCCTTGCGGGCCGGAGGGGAACTGCGGCGAAAGTTCTTGGAAAGACCATCAAACGGAAATTAGGTTGGTGTTGGAGACGCTTGCACATCCCGGCTAGCAAGAAGGGAATGATAGGAGTTGGAGTCCGGCACTGAGACTGGCTGAGAGTTTGTGGGCAATGCAGGAGGGTGCAGAAGATCTGGGATTCAACGAGAGGAAGGGAGGCCAGACGTGTCTTTGATGAATTAGAATAGAATAGAATAGAATAGAATAGAATAGAATAGAATAGAATAGAATAGAATAGAATAGAATAGAATGGAATATTTCATCTGCACCTCTATAGCTGTCTGATTTGGTTCTGCAACCCAACAAGACAGACACAGACTTCAGAGGATAATTAGAACTGCAGAAAAAACAATGGCTACCAACCTGCCTTCCATTGAGGACCTGTATACTGCACGAGTCAAAAAGAGGGCTGTGAAAATATTTACAGACCCCTCACATCCTGGACATAAATTGTTTCAACTTCTATTCTCAAAAAGACACTATAGGGCACTGCACACCAGAACAACTAGACACAAGGACAGTTTTTCCCCAAATGCCATCACTCTGCTAAACGACTAATTCCCACAACACTGTCAAATTATTTACTAATACTGTATTACTATTATTCTTCTCATCCTTCCTAGTACCTATCTCCTCCCGCTTATGACTGTATGACTGTAACCTTGCTGCTGGTATCTTTAAGATTTATATTGATATTGTTTCCTGATTGTTTATTTGTAACCTATGACTATCATTAAGTGTTGTACTTTATGATTCTTGATGCATGTATCTTGTCTTTTTATGTATACTGAGAGCGTATGCACCGAAGACAAATTCCTTGTGTGTCCAATCACACTTGGCCAATAAAAATTCTATTCTATTCTATTCTATTCTATTCTATTCTATTCTATTCTATTCTATTCTATTCTATTCTATTCTATTCTCTGTTCTGTTCTATTCTAGAATAGAATAGAATAGAATATTTCATTGTCACTTTGAATGTACACTAATAAGCATACATTAAAATGAAATTATGTTGCATACAGCTCTCAAAGGGTTTCTACCTCTAATATAAACATAAACATGACAAGATAAATGAATAAATAAATACAAAATTATGCATGTACCCACATACATTATATGACATGGAGAAACAACACAGTTTAGTTTGGATGTATCCATGCACATGGCAAGAGACACAAATCTTGCGAGTTTACCAGATGGATGGCCTAGGGAACAAAGCTGTTACAGTAGTGGTGGGTTGCTACCGGATCAGGAAAACCGATAGCAGCGGCGGCTGGAAGCTCCACCCACCTGCCCGGATGCTTCTGCGCATGTACAGAAGCGCTGCACGTGGGAGTGCACGTGCGCGCACGAGAGAACTGGTAGCAACAGGATTTGAAACTTGCCCCTGTGTTACAGAATCTGGAAGTCCTGCTAGAAATACTTTGAAACCTCCTCCCAGAGGGGAGCAACAGAAACAGACCATGAAGTGGGTGTGGGGGGTTTCTAACAATACTTTGATCTCTAAGCACATAGTGCTTATAAGCAGCATCCTGAATAACGGGAATCGAGCTTCCTGTAATCTTCTCGGCTGTCCTTACCACTCTCTGAATGGACTTTCTATCTTTTGTCATCTTGATTGCACCTTTTGTCTCTGAAGGATCTCAAGACTTCGTTCCAAGTCTAGTTTTCTACCATCACTATTGCCACTACTCTAGAATTCCTACTATAATGCTACTAGAACTAAGGAGAAATTTTCTGACAGTTAGAATAATTAATCAGTGGAATGATTTGCCTCCGGAAGTTGTGAGTGCTCCAATACTGGAGGTTTTAAGAAGAGACTGGACAGCCATTTGGCTGGAATGCTAGGGTCTCCTGCTTGAGTAGGGGGTTGGACTAGAAGACCTCCAAGTGTTGTGGCTCCGTTACCTGAGCCTGTGTCATCGGCAGGAGAGGACTCCAAGAGTGAAGGAGAGGAGTTGGCAAGGCCTCCCTCTACAGGACCCTCCTCTCTGGCAATGCCTTCGGTGTCCGCTGAAGGGCAAGAGATAGGGCTGGGGCCAAGCACGTCCACGCAGCCACAAGTGGACAGTGATGAGGGTAATGAGTCTTGGCTGGATCCTCGGCAGCGTCGCAGAGATAAGCACACGCAACAGAAGAAAAGGCGTGCCAGACATTAGGCTGAGTCACTGGACCACACCCCACAGGGTATAAAAGGGGGTGAGGTGGCCATTCAGACTCTGTGACGGACAAAACTAACTACTATCGAGTCACATTGCATCTCTGGAAACAACATTATCGGCCTTGGATTTATTTTACGAACTGGACAATTCTTGACTGTGGGTATTTTGTTTATTGAGTAAAGTTCTTGGCAAGCAGCTACTGGGTTGCTGCCAAGCGTCTTATCGGAAGAATTGGTTGTCTGCCAATTTATTTAACCCCCAGCTGTCTGTTTGTGTGCGTGTGTGAGACGGGGACAGAATACCAAGGTCCCTTCCCACTCTGTTATTCTTCTTTAGCCATTCCATTTTATCATCAGGACAACCCTGGAAACTCAAGTGACAGAATCTGGTTCACAAATAACATTGACCTCTGAGATGGTTGGTTTGCTTCTGGGCTGAGAGTCGCCTGTAAAATCCATCCAGAATGAGGTAGCATTATGTGTGGCTTGGTTACCTATTATAACATGATTAAATCCTTCCTTAATAAGATGTGTCAACCAGGTCAGATGCTTACCCTGAACACCCAAGTAGTAATCTTATACTTGCATAAAATACTGGTATGCAAACAGTGCTGCTGTCAGGTTTCGATGTCATCTCAAATAAATTGCACTCCCAAACAATTAATCTTTGCTAAAATATTCCATTTATTGAGTACGACAGATCTGGCCCTGACTTCGTCGTGGCCGATACTAACCCTCTGACCCCCAAACCCTTCCTTTTCCGTTCCCCAATTCTCATCTTCTCATTGGCCATCTTCCAAGTCAGTCTCCCCAGCTTCTGACCTCAGCCCACAGGAATGCCCCCTCCCATCCCATCTCCTAGGGGATATTATCTACAGAGAAAATAAGTAGGTGAAAAGTCAAGCCTCGTCTCCTCCTTTTTACGGCAGCATCAGAATGCTGACAGCTGCTTTGCTTGGAGTCTTTTTGCACATCCAGAAGGAATGAATGAACTTACCCTTGGAGATAACTGAAATTTTCCTAACTATGCGTCCAGAGAAAATTCTTTCTAACTGCTATGTTTCTTTACTGGATAAATGCCTGTAACTCTAAAAAAAAACCCAACATGATTTGTCCTAAGCAAAGCTTGTTATAGTAAACCTGGTATTAAACCATGATGAATAAAATAGTGAGTTATAACTAAGGTGGTATGGTCTACAGGTAAAATTACACTTGGAATACTGCATCCCGTTGTAATCAACATGACACAAAAATATGTTGAGGCTCTAGAAAGGATGCAGAGAAGAGCAGCAAAGCTAAAACATGAATGATTGTAGGAACTGGGTATGTCTAGTCTAACAAAGAAAAGGACTGGGGTGAAATGGAAGGATTCTTCCAATATTTGAGGGGCTGTGAGAGAGAGGAGGGGGTCGACTTATTCTCCATAGCATCTGAAGGCAGGACTAGAAGTAACAGATGGAATTTATCAAGGAGAGAATCAACCTAGAAATAAGGACAAATTTCCTGCCAGCGAGTGTTGGAAGAAATATCCTTCTGGGTTCGGCTCCAAGTGGGGAAAAAGATACTGGAAACATGGAGACTGCTTGGAAAGATGGTTTAATGGTGGACAGGATCGCATGGCTTGAGTTCCTGAACAGAAAAAGGGCCGAAATGCAGCGAGTCCCCGGGTTTTTATGCTCTCTCTGGCTTTGAATTTCCTGGGGCCCCAAAAGAGTATCCTGATTGGTTGTCAGACTCCCAGGAGGTGGGGGTCTTAGCTAGCCTTGCTGGCTGATGTAATCTTCCCAGGTGCCATGTGGTGAGTTTCTGTTGCTAGATGGGTCCCATTGTGTTGCAGATGAAGGTCCATTGACAAGGATTGAGTTTCTGCCTCTGGCCCATTAACAAAGGCAGGAAGGTGGGAGTTGCTTTGTCTTTAAGACATGTTTCTCCATTTCTCAACCAGGGAAACATAATATTCTGTCTTTTTAATATTTCCTAAAATATTTCATTCTTCCAGGAAAGGGGTGGATGCTAACTTCCTACACGAGAACAATTAATGACCCAGAAGTTGTGAGTGCTCCATCACTGGAGGCTTTTAAGAAGAGATTAGACAGCCTTTTGTCTGGAATTGTATAGGGTCTCCTGCAGGGGGTTGGACTAGAAGACCTCCAAGGTCCCTTCCAATTCTATTATTCTGTTAAACCTATCGTGAGAATAATTCAGGTGAGATCTAGAATGGACCACGGTAAAGATCTGTAAGAAATGTGGAAATTCATCCTGAGGCTGAGGCTCTATATATTTTCCTTCTCCACCCTTTTCCACACCTTATAATAACTCCAGGATTCAGCCTGGCTCTTTAATTCCTGTAGAAAAGAAAATAACAATTTACATTTTCGTTTTCCTAATCAAGCTGTTCTTCCTCTTTCCAATACAGTTCTGCAAACCGTCCCAGTCACAAGAGAACAGTGCTTATCTGCCTCATTACACAATATAGATTTTAAAAGTCAGATCCTTTTTTGGATCTACTATCGCAGGAAGGGTGACCACAGAGGTTTCCGCCCCCCCGCCCCCCACTGGAAGTGACTTGTTGTTAAATGCGTGAACATTGCAGAATCCCAGAGATTCAAGCATAGCTTGTGGAAAGTAGCACATCTGTGCAATCTCTGAAAAAAAGTTCAGAGAAGGACCATCCTTGTCTCTATTTTGTGGCTGTTTTCCTATTTGATCCCACATAGCATGTAACCAGCAAAAGGTATGTTCATTGCAAACACTGGAAGGTTAACATTTTATGTAATTTTAAATACGTTAAGGCTAGAATCCAGGGTATTTGTGGTAAGCCTCTCAGAATTGCTCGCTAGTGAGATGGGCGACATATACATTTAAGAAATAAATACAAATAAACAAATACAAATGTAATTGGGAATATGTTTTACTGAAGGGGCCATCTTGAGATGGCCCCAAATGATCACAATTTGAGATCCAATTGCTTTATTGTAGTTCATGGTAGGATTTGCAAGTATCGCTGAGCTTTTGGAACTAACGTTTTAAAATCTTTTTAAAAAAATATAATTTGCAATGTAATCTCTACAGGCAGTATCACATGGATGCAAAAAAGGGTCGGTGACAAATTAAAATCTAAGCTTATCTGCAAATCGTACTCCTACTAAGCCATTCATATTCCTACTGTCTTACCTTGTTGGATTATATTATTTGAATATTGTACAAAATTTACTTCTGTCTCCTATCGTTTACCTGTCCTTTTATCCAGAGAGATGCCACGTTAAACCTGTTGCTATCAGACAATACCGTAGAATTCCCCTGCAATATTTTAGTGATGACCTACAGTGTATGGCTTTATCACTTAGGCCATGGGTAAATTCAGGGGAGATTATACAGAATCTGCCCAACCTAGACAGTGTAATAGAAGGTATTCAGTACTCACCTTGAAACAAAACAGGGGAAAATTTTCACATGAGTGGTCCCTTCCTGGTGGACTACAGTATTCTCCCCTCTGCCCCCATCCTGATGATGTTTCAGAAGGTGACAAAAATAATCCTCTTCAAGAGACTCTTCCAACTTGTTTTTATGGCAGCTACTGGCTACACCTTTATTTATAGATTCTAATAGAATCAGAATAGAGCTGGAAGGGATCTTGGAGGTCTTCTAATCCATCCTCCTGCTCAAACAGGAGATCCTATACCATTTCAGACAGGTGGCGGTCCAATGTCTTCTTAAAAACCTCCAGTGATGTCCACAATGTCTGAAGACAAAGCCATTCCATTGGCTAATTGTCCTCACTGTTAGGAAGTTTCTCCTTAATTCCAGGTTGCTTCTCTCCTTGATTAGTTTCCATTCATTGTTTCTTGTCCTGCCCTCTGGTGCTTTGCAAAATAAATTGACCCCCACTTCTTTGTGGCAGCCTCTCAAATACTGCAATTCTGCTATCATGTCCCCCTTAGACCTTCTTTTCTCTTGACTACTCAAACCCAAATCCTACAACCGTTCTCCAGGCCTTTAATCATCTTAGTTGCTCTTCTTTGCACTTTTTCCAAATAGTTTTTAAAAAAATATTTATTAATGTTATAGATCTTTTTATACATTTATCAAGTGTTTTTTATTTTATTTTAAGCCACCTAGAATCGGAAGGATAGGCTGTGTATAAAATTGGGCCTAGAAAGATAATTCATTGTGGCTGTTTAACTTGCAGGACTTTACACAGCTTGTGGTTCTTCGAATCAGATTTCAGAACAAGGGCACCAAGTTGAGAAACTTTTAACCAAGGTTGAGAGACACTTAGGTTGATCACTGTTACGCGCATGGAAGATGGTTTGGGTGAGCCTCCTATGCTCAACCACAATTTCCTGTTAACCTTTTTATTTTTGAGAAATGAGAATCGCAATAAAATAGTTGTGAGAATTAATAATAATAAGTTATTAAATGTATATGCTGCCTCTCATAGCAATTCTGGACTGAATGGACACATTTGGCCTGTTTTCATAAATCCCCGAAGGAAATTATTAACGCAAAGAAGAAACTGTGGGGTCCTTGGTGGTCTCTGAGCTTGGTTGTTTTTCTTACAGATTTTTCATTACCAAACTAGATAACATCATCAGTGCCAAAGGGAGTTGGATTTGCTCTCTTTTTATATACAAATGGCTTGTCCTATCAGTGTAAGTGGGAGTATTTTTGGTAGTTCCTTGATTAGGCTGTTGTTTACTGTTTGTCTGTCTGAATTAGTAGTTACTGCACACCAGAGCACTGCACACTAGAACAACTGGACACAAGAACAGTTTTTTTCCTGAACGCCGTCACTCTGCTAAACAAATAATTCCCTCAACACTGTCAAACTATTTACTAAGTCTGCATTACTATTATTATTAGTCTTCTCATCGTTCCCATCACCCATCTCCTTCCACTTATGACTGTATAACTGTAACTTTGTTGCTGGTATCCTTACGATTTATATTGATATTGTTTCCTGATTGCTTATTTGTACCCTATGACTATCATTAAGTGTTGTACCTTACGATTCTTGATGAACGTATCTTTTCTTTTATGTACATTGAGAGCATATGCACCAAGACAAATTCCTTGTAAAATTCTATTCTATTCTATTCTATTCTATTCTATTCTATTCTATTCTATTCTATTCTATTCTATTCTATTCTATTCTATTCTATTCTGATTTGAGTATTGTTTACTTCTTGTTTGTTGGTCTAGTATTAATCTTGGTGTTAATCTGTCCTTATCTGGGTGTTGATTGTGGGTGGGAAAGTGTTTTGTTTCCTATTTTGTTTTTCGACAGTGCAAACCACTAATATATAAAAAGAGAGCAACTCCCCACTTCCTTCTAGCATTGATGATATTACCTAGTTTGGTAATGAAACATTGGCAAGAAAACAACGAAGGGGAGACAGCACAAGGACCCCAGAGTTCAACCTTGAGCTTCAACTTTTCTCAAGAAGAAACTGTAATTTGCCTGTCTTATATGTTTTGCTGATAAAAGAAATTGATGTACCAACTTTCTAATTCCTTTAAAAAGAAGACAAAGAAAGATTTATATGTGCAATAGGAACGCAGCTAAGGAAAATGAATCAGAGGCTAAAACAACATATACATTGCATCAAACGTTACTTCCTTAATCAGCTTTTCTTGAACAAGCTGCAGTCAGATGGGTGTCTGTGTGGCAGACTAATATGTAAAATACAATCTACAAATCATAACATGGATTCACAGAATGCATTGAGCTAAAGCAAAGCAAACATCTTCGTAAGAGTCTTCACTCATCTAGCTAAGCCAATAGTGATCTAATTTGTGAGCAAATCCTTCATACTTAGGGTATACCGTGTTGTGTGAATCCAACCATTGTGATCTGCAAACCATAATTCATGGCTTAGAATGCATGATCTCAGCCAATGATAAATTAGGATTCGATATCCACAGACCGATACTTTTTCATTTGCTTGCTTAACTCCAAATCATTTTCAGTGTTTGTGGAGCCACTGAGTAGCTCTCTAAGTGTTTCTTCCGGATAATTTAGAACATCCTGATTCTCTAATGTTCCTTCTTACCATCCTGGGGTTTTGTAATGGATTGCCAAATTAATAGGATTATAGAATATGTTTTGCTTAGCATTAGTGGCAGGGCAGAAAAGCAAAAGCAAAAATTTAATCCCTGTAAGAGACGCTTTCCAGACGTTTTAGATTATAAATACCAGAATTCCTACATACTGACCATGCTGATGTGGGAATTCTGGAATCCAATAAACCAGGAAGATCTCGGTTTAAAGAAGGCTGAGGATATTTTGCTCTAATCTTAACCGAGGTACAATGAATTAAACAACCGAATGTGTTTTCTCTTTCCTTCTCTAAATAACTTCTCCGTGTATTTTTTTTTCTTTTTAAAGGCATTTTCTCTGTGTAGTCTTTTTTGAAGATTTGTCTTCTGAGCCACCATGCTGGCAGAAAGCTTCATAACTGTCTTCGCCTATAAAAGCGAGCCTTTTGACTCCTGCCAAGGCCGGTTGCTGAAACCCGTTGGACAAGAAACTTGGCAAGGCCAGTTTGCAAATACGGATGAAAATGAACAGCTCTTTACGAAATCCAGCCGAGCAGCAGCTGAGAAGGTGGCGGAGATTCATGGCAGAAACATGGATCCAAAACGTCATCAGCAGATCCCTGGACAAGATGCACCAAGGAACAAAACCCACAAAATACCCCTGTCCGTTCCTCAGCGCGTACCAGTTCAAGAGCAGCACTGTAGGAAAGAGCTGGATTTGTACAGATCTTGGTCATGCCAAAGTCTTTATCAGAATTATCCCGATCTGCATATCGGAGGAGATCATATCGCTGACCATACCCGTGATTCCGATCACATCGTGGACCAGACTTATAACGAATTGTCTGGTCCCATGTTCTTGTCGACGGATCTCCCCTTAGATACTCCCTTCCCATTACAGAAACCCAGGGGGCTAAAGTTGGGGCACGGGGACGATGTCGGGGAGAACAGCCTGGCTCTCCGCAAGGAACCCCTATCTAACTCGTTACTTAACAATCACATGGAAAAGGAAATCCAGGAAGTCTATAAACAGTTTTGGGAAGAGAAGTTGACTCACTGCAATTCCATCACCCACTGCCTGATGTCGAATGGCCTGATGAGTAACCTCGGTGAGGCCCACCACCCACTGTCTCATGGACACCAACAAACGCTGTTGCACTCTCTGGCTCGTCTGGGTTTGCACAACAACACTAGCGGTGGAAACAGCAGTGAATTTAGCACGCCAAATTTGCAGATCTCCGCCCCGCTTTGCAAGAGAAAATGTCTGTGATGCAACGTGCACCACGAGGGAAAGCAATTGATTCTTTAAAAAACAAACAAAACAAATGGGACAGTCTTTGGTTAACAGCAATAGCCACCTAGACTTATACAGTGCTTTACAGCCCTCTCTAAGTGGTCTACAGAGTCAGCATATTTTCACCCAACAATTTGGGTCCTCATTTTATCCACCTCGGAAGGATGGAAGGCTGAGTCAACTTGAATAATAGAGTGGACAAGCTTTGATGGGCAAGATTTACACTTAAGTTTCTGGAAGGTGACAACTGACAAGTATAGCATTGGCAAGGTGACAACCTATATACAATGGAGTCCTATGGTGTATATTAAAAAATTTGAGAACGTCTTGGAAGAAACCTAGGCATTACATTAGGGTTTATGCTGCATTTGTGTATCAGTGATTTTTAGCTAATAACAAAACAACAGATAAACAGAATGACAAAGTTGGAAGGGACCTTGGAGGTCTTCTAGTCCAATCCCCTGCTCAAGCATGAAACCCTATACCTTTTCAGACGAATGGTTATCCAATCTCTTCTTAAAAACCTCCATTGTTGGAGCACTTACAATTTCTGGAGGCAAGTTGTTCCACTGATTAATTGTTCTCACTGTCAGGAAATTTCTCCTTAGTTCTAGGAGAGGAATTCTAGAGTAGTGGTAATAGTGATGGTAGAAAAGTAGGAACTATTTTTGACCCTGACTTAATTCTAAAGTGTACAATATTCTTTAAGGTGTTGTAGGACATTAGCAATAAGAGACTTACTCTCTTGGGAGAGTTGTAATTGTTTAAGGATTGGATTACAAACATACCTGCTTCCATCCCCTCCTTTTGTTTTGGCATTTCAAAAACATTGTCCTGTAAAGTTGATATATTTCTCCAGAAATATATGGAAAAATAATCAGGAATATATTCTGGAAAAAGTGAAATGCATTTGGAGAAAGTTGTGAAGGATTCTAGTGGAAATTGTAGAATTTTTCATGGCAAGATATTTATGAAATCATAACATGACCTTAAAACTTGTGACATTAATTTTCCGGTTAAAAAAAAAGATAGGGGAACAGAAACAAACTGGATTTCTGCTTTCTGACATGTCAGTTTCTAACCACTTAATATAATTCATTGTTGATCCATTTTTTCCCCCTGAAATGGAAATATGACTCAGGACTTTATACAGTTCTAATGGAAAGTTCTTAGATACTAACAAAGCAGTTTTTAGACTCTTTAATGAATTGATCCATACTAACTGGCCGTATCTTTTCTTTTACAAATTTCCCAAATACTCTTCTATCCTCAAAAGCTTGGATTTCTTTGCTTGAATGGGTTTTACTCCATTTCTGGATTTTTTTAAAAAAAAATTGTTAAAATAATGAAATACAAAATGAAGTCTACAATAAAAAGTGGCAACCCAATGGAGAAAAAAACAACAGCATTATCATCATAAATGAACTATTGTAGATATAACAAAAACAACAGTTAAAATACAATAGAACCTTTATTGGTCATTTTGGCCATTTCACAAATATAAAACAAATTACAAACATACAAATAGATACAAAGAAAACAAAAGAACATGCTTGTAGTAAATCATCACCCCTATAGTTAACCCCAGTCTGATCTAAATCGATTTAGAGTTTAGAATATAGTTTCTATTCTGTTCAATTAAAAAAAGAAACGTTCCTTATGATAAGCATAAATATGTATATGGAATTAAGTCCATTGTTGAGCTTATCATTAAGTTTGGATCTTACAGTCACATAATGTGTCTTTTTCTCATTTTTAAAAAACAAAAGCTTTCCAGAAATAATAACACATAGTATGGATCCATCCTTTAAAATCAAGAGAGTAACTTTTTTTTCCTGATGTGTGTGTGTGTCTGTGTATGGATGGTTGGATGGATAGATTGGATGGATAGACAGACAGACAGACAGACAGACAGACAGACAGACAGACAGACCAACCTCAAGTTCAACCAAATGAAAGTTGTTCCTAAGATAACTTCCATATTTTAGTGATTAGGACACTGAAATTCTCAAAACATTTCTTCTTATAACAAGTAATGTGTGCATTAACATGTATATTGATTGGAAACCAAACCGAAGTTGTAATGGAAGGAGACTGAATCATCTGCCTTAAAGAACCTTCAAAGATCTCACACCACCAACTCCATCTCAGCAGCTGTGACTAGTGGTCAGTTTCACAATGAAACAAAGTACCACGGACAAGGGAGCGAAATAAGCTATAGGAGAGCGAATAAGCACTACAGGCCAATGGAGGAGAATATTTGTAGCTCAGGGTTGAAATGAAAGGTCCTCAATGATCTCTGAGCTTGGTTGTTTTCTCACAGACGTTTCATTACCCAAACTAAGTAACATCATCAGGGCTGGAGCACCAGCACTGATAATGTTATCTAGTTTGGTAATGAAACATCTGAAAAAAACCGACCAAGCTCAGAGAGCACCAACGACCTCTCTAACACTACAGGGTTACAAAGGCAAATAATTATGCTCTAAGTGTACTGTGTCTTCTCTGGTTTTTTTTTTTTTTTTTTAATTTGATTTATATGCTGCCCTTCTCTGGAGACTCAGGGCGGCTTACAGTGCGTTAAGCAATAGCCTTCATACTTTTGTATATTTTATACAAAGTCAGCTTATTGCCCCCACAAACTGGGTCCTCAATTTACCTACCTTAGAAAGGATGGAAGGCTGAGTCAACCTTGAGCCTGGCAAGATTCGATCTTACTTTAATTGCAGACAGCTGGTGTTAAATTACAGTGCCTTTGTCTGCAGAGCTATTCAGGCTCGTTACCAAGAACAGTGTTCTTGACTGTTTCCATTTTTCTGCCTCCAGATGTAGGGGAGTTCGCTTGGCTGTAATTCTTAGAATTTTTAGAAGTTTAAAGTATGCCATAAAATAGAGATGGAAGTAGTTCAGAGAGAGAGAGAGAGAGAGAGAGAGAGATACCTGTTCTGCCCCAGCTATGGATCCCAAAGAACACAGCACACACAAACTCTGAACAAAACTTAGTTTACTCAAATAATGCAGTTTTAGCAAATGCTGGCTGTTAATAAGCGTTCTTAACAGCCTGCCAGAATTCCACAGATAAGATAGTCAGAGTCTTACTGGAGTTGGCAGAAAGCCCAGAAACAAGGTTGCAGAGAAATCCCGACGCGATGATTAGCGAACTAAAGTTGTTTCCTGCAGCTTGTTGCAAGCTGCGTTCTTTCTTAAATAGGCTAAGGGCGTGGCCAATTAACCCCAAGCCTTACTCTCGAGGAGACCTCCTCCTGAGGAACCACTCCTGCTCTGCGTGCCCGTGCATTGAGAAGAGGCTCCTCCTCTTCATCCTCTTCACTTAAAGGAACCTCTGGAGGTTCTGAAGGCCCTGACTGAATCCCTGCCTCTGGTACTACATCTTCTTCAGCCTCCTCGCTGTCTAACTCAAGCGCCGGCTGCACAGGCTGCTGGCGCAGCACCACGCCAGCCTCCTCGTCGTCGGGATCAGCAACAATCTGTGCAGGCCGCTGGCGGGCCACAACAATACTTTTCAACTGCTTGAAGATCACAGATGCTGACAAATATCTCCCCATTTATCAAAACAAGAAACTGGATGCATTTTTTTTTCTTTGCCAATATTATTATGCTAGCCATAATAATGTTAATTCCTAGGATGCTAGTCCAGCAATATAAAATACCATATCGGTGGGAGAAGTATGCCTTCCCTTTAGTTGTATCTCTTCCCTGTTTAGAAATCCTTTTGTTCTGCTCTAAACCTGGGGAGAAGGAGGGCATGCATAAAGCACAATGAGTAAATAATCTAGAATGGTTCATAGATTTTTGTTTTTAAACCCTCTGGCATGTTTGGTCTTTATTAGAAAAACAACGTGACTGCAGTAGAATAGCTGGGATTGTAGGGCAGAAGTTTGAAGGACTCAATCTATGTCCCCTGAAGCTCTCTGGGTCTTTATGCTTTGGCCACACCTCCTGCGCCAGGTGACAATTTGATAAGAGAATAACAGAGTTGGAAGGGACCCTTGGAGATCTTCTAGTCCAACCCCGTGCTCAGGCAGGACCCATTCTGGACAAAAAGCTGTTCACTCTCTTCTTAAAAACCTCCAGTGTTGGAGCACCCATAACTTCTGAAGGCAAGTCATTCCACTAATTAATTGTTCTAACTGTCAGGAAATTTATCCCTAGATCTAGGTTGCTTCTCTCCTTAGTTTCCATTCGTTGCTTCTTTTCCTGCCTTCAGGTGCTTTGGAGAACAGGTTGACCCCCTCTTCTTTGTGGCAGCCCCTTAGACATTGGGACCTTACCTGGCATCTATCCCTAAGACGGGGTGAAATCCAGCAGGTTCTGACAGGTTCTGGAGACCCGGCAGTGGAAAGATAGTACAGAGCCTTGATAGTACAGTGCCTTGATAGTACAGTGGTCTACGCACCCTGTTATTAACACAGCTGCCTGCAATTTACTGCTGGTTCGAATCTCTCCAAGGCTCAAGGTTGACTCAGCCTTCCATCCTTTCTAAGGTAGGTGAAATGAGGACCCAGTTTGTCGGGGCAATAAGCTGACTTTGTATAAATATACAAAAGAATGAAGGCTATTGCTGAGCACATTGTAAGCCACCCTGAGTCTCCGGAGAAGGGCGGCATATAAATCAAATTAAAAAAAAAAATTTGAGTAGTTTGGAGAACCGGCAAATACCACCTCTGGCTGGTCCCAGAGTGGGATGGGAATGGAGATTTTGCAATATCTTCCCCTGCCATGCCCACCAAGCCACGCCCACCAAGCCACACCACGCCCACCAAGCCACGCCCACAGAACCGGTAGGAAAAAAAATTGAATTTGACCACTGTCCTAAGCCCATGAATGGATGCTCTCAAATTCCCTGCTTCCTTTGTAGCAATTCAAAGGTCAGATTTTAGCAAATGAAATAATTTCTGTCATACAAACTGCCGACAGTTAGAGGCATGGCAGCCTTTGGCCATCTCTTTGAGAAATAGGGCAATCTCACAGAAGGTTAACAAAATGAAACTTTATTTTAAACAAAATAAAATATATCAAAACCCCTTGTTAACTTGAAACAATGTTCATTTGTTGAAGAGGTCCGGTTACACAGAAAAGAAAGGGAAATACACACACACACACAAATATGTTTTTCTATGCAAATAGCAAGATGGGCTCTTCTGTCACTAACTGCCTTCTACAGATCTAAGTGAAAAATTTTACTGCTTCAGATTTCCAAATGGAGAGATGGTCAAATTATTAGTGATGGAAAGTTGGGATGGAAATAAGTCTTCATGAAAAAAATCCCTAATGCTTGAAGTTCTACCATGCTTCTTAATTTCTAAAGACGACTAAACGAATCTTTAGCCTTACCCTATACAGCAAACAGAAATCAACATTGGAATGCCCTGCTCCAGACAATTTTACCTATTTTCTACCAAATTAGAAGCAAAAATATTTTATCTATTGTTACAGCTCCTTGGAGATTCAAAATTTTTCTGGTTGGATGACGAAAATCTGTGTTCCCTTTTCTGCCTCTTTCTCTGGTTTGTCAAGAATTCTGCTCTCATTTTTAAATATCTCTCTCTCTCTCTCTCTCCCCTCCCTCTCCCTCCCTCCCCCTCTATCTTTCTCTCTTTCTCTCTCTCCCTCCCTCTTTCTCTCCCTCTCTCTTTCCCTCCCTCCTTCCCTCCCTCCCTCTATCTCTTTCTTTCTCTCTCTCTCTCTCCCTCCCTCTTTCTCTCCCTCTCTCCCTCCCTCTTTCTCTCCCTCTCTCCCTCTCTCTCTTTCCCTCCTTCTTTCCCTCCCCCTCTCTCTCCCTCCCTCGCTTTCTCTGCCCCCCCTCTCTTTCCCTCCCCTCCCTCTCATAATTTATTCATGGCAAAGAACAGCTCTTCCCTGTGATTTTCTATGGAGCATCTGAGCCTCTCTGGCACTACCTTACATTCATAACACGTTATTCATTTTCTTTCTCACTATAAATTCAAAGTGGCTTGCAAAAAAAAAAAGAAAAGAAAAAACCTTAACCAAACACAATGAATAAACAATGCAGATTATTTAGAACAGATGTTTCATTCGTTTCAAGCGTTTCTAATCCATGTATTTCTCCGCAGGGGGTGTGTGTTTACACAATAATAAATGCAGCACGAGACAGTTTGGTGGTATGGTTCAAGGCACCAGGCTAGAAACCAGGAGGCGCCGAGTTCTAGTCCTGCCTTAAGGCAGGATAAGTCATTGAGCCCTAGGAAGAAGGCAATTCACCTATGATGACGTCCGGGTCAGTGGGTGGAGCCTCCTACCAGTTTTACTACTGGTTCTTGCGAACCGGTCAGAACCGAAGGCAACCCACCACTGCCAAGAGTCAACAGTGACTTGAAGTCCCCCACCCCCAGGACAGAATAGAGTAAA